AAAGACTCAGATTGCGTATAATGTTATGACGTCACATGGAGACCAAATAGCGACTTGTAGATAACATCCACGTAGGCCGTTAATGTTGACATATCTTTTCTAGTTTGATATTTGCATTAGTCTTATACGTTCTAAAATGATTCTACAGTGAGTAAATTTCATGATTATATGTGTCAATGATCTGTATGAAACTGCTGTCATGATCATTAATATTACTATCTATTAATAATAACTCATTATATTGCATTGTTCTATATTTGGTTGTACAGCAGACAACCAAAGAAAATTTTTCAATAAGGAAGGACATAACATGTTTTCGATACATCAAAAACATTTAAAAGTCCGGGTTGAAACTTGCAGAAGTATATATATATCTAACACCAAACGTTTTAGGATTTATGTAAGACATTTTATCAAATTCCTAATTAGCTCTTGAAGCTGCTTAACTAAAAAATAGAGGCCACCGAATGTTTAGTAAAGCAGTTGTGCTGGTAAATTTTTGTCAATTATGTCAGAATCCAAGAAAAATTCTGAAAAAGTTGTACAAGAATTACTGAATAATGTTGAACCTTGAAGGGTATGTAATTATTGTGACATTAAATCCAGTCTTTATTTTTCAGATACGTAATTGTAAACAATTAGCAAAAATCTACCGCTTAAGTTATTCTCTACTTCATGTCAAGTGTCAAGCGAACCGTTTTTACATAGTTTAAGAGAAAATCATACTTTGCAGTTTTTGTACCATGATATAAACTGATGCGATAGAAAGAACAGTTATATCATCGTTATCGGATGGAGGCAAAAAAAATGTATATTAATTTTTTACAAACTTAAATACAATGATGGTTCAAAAATTAATTGGCGTAGGAGCTTTTAATTTTCTGAGATACAGTACCTTATTCTTTCTTTTTGCTTCTAATATGGAATGTTAAAGTTCGACTAAAATAAATATAAAATTTATTACCACTTGGTTTTACAGTTTGTAATGTTTATTCAGGGATAACATTATTGTTCCTCTTCAAAAAACTCGTGTGTAAAATTCCAATCTAATTTTTTTGTTTACGTGGTACATGTTCTCTCAGAAAGATTTCATTTATATCGAAAATGAGTAAGCAGCGGAATCAAACAAAGTTATCTCCATGTATTTTTCATATTCTCAAAGAAAATTGTATCGGAACAACTTTAGTATCTTGTCTTTAAGCTTTATATCACGTAATAAAACTGAAACGGGAAGAACGAAATATTCCTAGTAAACTTGAGAGACGTTCTTCCTAATAAAATTTTATATCAAAACCATTGAAATTGCATAAAAATGTTCGAAATTAATAATAATCAAAATTGTTAAAACTTATTGAGAAGCTCTGGAACTGTCCCCCACATAAAAAAGGAGAATAGTTGAGGCCGGAGATACTGTGTCGTCCGCTTTTTTGTCTAGGTTAATCTTAGGTTATCAGTTCTACGTCAGTGTTCAATATTGAAACGTCTTTTTTTGCTTAAGTTTCAAGCAAAATTATTAGTGAACAAATGTTGCGTTCTGTGTATGTGTTGTGTGTGCGCTGCGTGTATGCCACGTGTATGTTGCATGTATGTTGCGGGTGTGTTGCATGTGTGTTGCGGGTGTGTTGCATGTGTGTTGCGTGTATGTTGCACGTGTGTTTCAAAAATGTTTCTTTACCTTTAAATAAATATATTGTGCTTGTAAAAAATTATTTCTACCAGTACTAGTGTTATAAATATATTTATTCGCAATTTTAACGTACCTGTCAGTTTTAATAACACCGCTTTTTGATTGTATAGTTTAACTTAAAGGTTTAAAATTACCAACAAATTATTCATGCTTCATTCTGCAATATGATTTAGTATTCTAGAATCAAATTCACGAATTCTGAAATTTAATTAACATTTTCTGAAATATATGTCGATTACCAATGTTACTTTTGCTCAATATTGTGTATAAAGAATAGAATTTTCCAATATTGCTGAAAGTCTAAGATTCATATTTAATCAACTGTACTTTTTAAATCTCCTCTAAAATAAGATTGTAATTTTTTAAAAATTTTCCTACAATTGACTTAGAAAAATTTATGTTTCATACGGACTTCAACTACACTCAGTGGTAGTAGCATTTCTGAATTGAATTATTGACCTTAATGTGTACACTTACGATATATTATGGCTTTGTGTTTCCAGTTTTGAGCAGCGAAACTATAAAAATACGATTACAGATAGCCAATATAACTTTTTCCGCTATAATTCTCCGCGGAAAACGTTGCTATAAAATCTAGAATTAGGCGGTGATAAATCGTTGAAACGACCAAAAATCTATTATATTTGTATTCGGGGAGACTTAGATATTCTTTAGTATTGACCTAAGTGATGGAAGACATTAGCTTCAAGCCGCATAAAAGTAGATAGAGTATTATTTCGATATTGGGCAAGTAAAGTAGGTTTATAAGGCACAAATAATGGAGTTCATAAATCCATAGGGATAGGTCATAAATTATGACTATTACATAACTCACAAGCCTCTGAAGACACGTCATATGACTACTCATATTTATCAAAACTTATGTATATATAAAAAACGACTGGTGTAAAGCCTAAACCAGAAAGGTAGTCCAGTCACTGAAGGCGAAAATAAGGTAAAAGCTCCTATTTTTTTCGGATAGCATGGATTTTCCTGAAAATTTGCATACAATTTCATCTGACCCTCCACTTCAAAAGATGTGTGCTTTTTTCTATTTGGGGGGTGAAAATTATCCTTGTATGAAAAAATGCGAAAATCGCAGATTCACGTATTCAATTCATGTTTAAATATGTTGAATAAAGTTCCTTTCATGTTTTTTAATATAATTTCTGAAATTTAAATACTTTTCAACCCTTAAAAATCCTTAAAAACTACCCTTCCATGGACAAAAAAAAAATAGAAAAAAAGTTTATAATATTCATTTGGTGCATTCACAATGTATTGCATTTCTTTTGTTATTCATTAGAAAGCTTACAACTCATTACAAAGTTGTAACCAAAACCATCCTTTATAATAAAAAAAACAAAAAATTATTATTGAAAGGTTGAGATGTTTTAATGCATATGCTGAATTATAAACTTTTTATTGGTTTTCAAATGATCTATGATATATTGCAACTTTTCAACCACCCAAAAAATCCTTATAGAGGACCTACTCCTCATAAAAAAAACCTACCCCTTATAGAATTTATTTATGAAAGCACTGCATTGCATGTAGCGCATGCACTTTATCTAAGTAATGCTTCCAACCTGTGCGTATACAGAATTTCTGGCTTGGTTCCAACCTAAATTCGAGGCCTCGGCCAATTTCCGAATGTACACATACATATACATGTGAACTCGGATACGTGTGTGTATGTATATTATTAAAATACCTACTCAAATCAGTTCACAAGTGCTCCAAAATACACAAAGATGATGGTAATTTACCCGCTCCGAAAATTTTACAGAAAAAATGTGATTAATTTTTTTACCATAACTCTTGTAATTTTAAAGTTATAAATTTACTCAAAAAACCATTTTGTAGGGAATTTAAAGCACTTTAAGTTCTGCGAATTGCAGTTTTTTGAGCCCTTAGTTTTTTAGATTTGTAAGCTAAAAGGGCTCAGGAAAGGCAGTGTTGGAGCTTAGTTTTGAGCTTCTAACGGTCATAACCTTGTCAAATTTTGTCCTACAGAAATTTAGAAAAAGCAAATTGTTCAGTAAGAAACAACCTACAATTTCTTATTCTATCATTTTTTTCATAACTTTGTTAGTTTATGAAATATTTTGAAAAAAGGCGATTTTTAAAAAAACTAAATGAAATATTCGTTTAAATTTAGGCTTCTAAAATCGTTCAAATTCCCAGAATCTACTGTTAATACATAAATAAAGTAAATTGCAGGAGGAATACGTTTAACTTTTTTTTCCGTCAGGTCATTAATTTTAATAACGATTTTATTTTTATTTTAACTTCATTAGTTTTCATGAAAACGACTTCTACCACCACTCAATTTAAAGGTCTTTTCAAGAACTTTAATAGGTGTTATATAAGGTTTCCTCGAAAAACCTTTAATTTTTCCGCTACAGAACGTTGAACGTTTCGATTATCTTCGAAATTGACTTCAACTTCTGGGAGTCATAACTGGGGTTCTACACCACCTATAAAAATTTAAAAAAAAGCAAGCATTGCTATTTCATTACCTTCATTTATGCTTATGATAATTTTTTTGATAAAATTTGTAGTTTTCGGGATATTTGTGAAAAATGGCTCAAAAACGAACATGTTTAGGCGCAAATAACTCAAAAATAATTGACTGTTCAAAAAATTCTTATAGAACATTTTTTGCTTAGAATTCCTCCCTCTATCGAATCGGTGGTTATTTTTTATAAAAAAAATCCACCCTCCAGAAGGGGTGGCATCCACCCCTAGGGTAAAAGCACACATCGGCACTATTGTATAACTTTTGTTTCTTTGGCTATTCCCTAGCTACAGTTCAAATTTCACGTCAATCAATTCCATCTGAAAAAATTTGTAGCCAAAATGCTTCAGTGACTGGACTAAACACTTTTGTACAATTATTTTTCGGGTTGTTGTGTCGTCACTTGCACTTGCACTTGCACCTCCAGGACGCGCCCTTGTAGCTCTCGGGTTAAGTAATGCGGGCGCGGAGTCACTATCCCTTGGCAAGCCCTGATGTTCATTTCGTTTCAGATGGCCACAATTGTCTGAAGGCGATTCCGTCTGTAGCAGTTTTAGATACAACAACAAGTTCCAAAATGAACATCAGAGTGGGCCTAGAGGCTCTAGTGGCGGGTCCTCCACCACAGAGCCTAGCCCGAGAACAACAAAACGTACCAAAATGCCCTAAAACTTCAAAAAATCAATATTATTGTTTCTATTCACGATCTTCTGTTTGTCAACCGCTGGTACTTACATAAATGTTAGTTGTAGGTTTCGACGAATTCAAACAATATTTTAAACATTATTGGCAATGTCCAATCATCCCTCTACAGGTGGGTTGCTGATTATTATTATTATTCCACCCGTAAAAAGTCCGCTCTAGATAGTCCAGATAAATCATTCAGAGCTCTTTCAAGAGTTACCGAATTCTTCTTACACTCTGGTATATATCGCTGTCATTGAGGCAAAACATGGTCGCTGCAATTTCCTTCATTTGTTTTGAAACAGCATAGCCCTTATAGTATGCATCGGTATGTGGTTATTAATTTGTAGTGTAGTTAAGTTCTTTGGACGTTGGGCTTTACATTGCAAGAAATTTAAACATATATTTAGGTAATTCAATAACTCCATATTGTTGAAGGCAATACTGACCATATTAATTAATTATTTGTGAAACTGCTGTTATTTTTTTTAATTAATTAAACAGGAACTTCGGAAGTGTAGTAACCAAGAACAAATTGAGACAGCATAGTGTTTGCAGGAGTACATTTCAACAACAGGGCATACTCTCTTGTTTTGATCAAGCTGCATGCCCCGCATGACAAAAGCATTGTTTTGTTTTGTTTTGTTTTGTGGCTTTTAACCTAAGGCACCAGTTACATCTAAAAATAGGATATGCTGGTCAGTTTTCTTCAACCTTAATAAGATGATCTTTACAATATACGTACCTAGATGTAGAACTGTTGAACGGAAGCCCGACATGTCGAATGAAGTTTTTATTTTCATTATACATTATCAGGAATCTTTAAAATTATCCTTACTTTCATCTTTTTCGGATTGCTGAGTTTTATGTTGATTGCAGGAATCATTGTGTTCATTATACTGAAAAGTCGAGTCATCAACAGACGACAACGGTTGTCGGATAATCAAGAATTAACTTTACAAGGACCCATGATCGAAGTTGTAAGTAATTTTTTTATGAGTATATCCTAATTCTTTTATACATAATTGTGTTAAATGAAAATTTGTTGCATTTTAGGAAAACAATGGATATATCCACGAAGAAGAACATGTTCCTATTAACCACTACAGAGTTTTGAAACAAAAAGTCCATACAATTTCCTCTAATCAGTTGAAAATAGAACCGACAAATCTGCTTGGTGTTGGGAAATACGGCAGGGTGAACAGCGGAACTATACATGAAAATAACACTTTAATTCCAGTGGCAGCGTACAGCATTCAAGACAAAAAAATGTCTAAGGAAACCAAACGATCTATGCTGCAGGATCTAGATGTGCTGATCAAAGTTGGGAAACACGAGAATCTCATTAGCCTCATTGGCACTTGTGAAACTGCTCAAGTGGTTTCCGTCATCTTGGATTATGTATCGATGAATCTCAAAGACTTGTTGTTAGGAAGTCGAGATACTTTGCCTGGTAGATTTAGCAACATGTCGGAGGCTCAAGCATTGGACATTGCTATACAGATTGCGAGTGGCATGGCTCACCTGGAGGCTTGCAGGGTAATTTTTTCGTTTTTAATAATGATAATGGAAGTACTTATGGCCATCAAAACCTTCAACCAGTAAAAAAAGAACGTGTGTTTACTATTGGGAGAGAATGAATTAATTTTTTTCTCCGAAGAACAATTTTTTGTTTTTCATTTTTTATGTTGATCATAAATTATTTACATTTCTAGGTAATTCATAGACAGTTATGTGCAAGGAGTGTGATGATAACAAATGGATTTACGCCAAAAATTAGTAGTTACGGTTTACACGTTACGTTTACGGGGTACAGTACGGTTTAGCCACAATAAAATTCCGGATTATACCAGATGGACAGCTTTGGAAGTGTTTAAGGGCCAACCGCCTAATTATAAGAGTGACGTGTGGTCATACTCTTGTCTGCTTTGGGAAATATGTGTTTTAGGTACGCATTAGGCTGTTGCAACGTAACATTTTGAAAATTATTGTTAATTTCTTTTCAGGTGGCACGCCTTATGGCAACACCTCAAACAACAATGAAATTCCTGAGAGAGTGATGAAAGGTCTGCGTCTTCCACAGCTACAATACATCAGTGACGATCTTTACCAAATCATGTTGGACTGTTGGCAGCTGGATTGTGACGAACGACCAAAGTTTGTGGATCTAGTGGACTCTCTCACAAACTTAAAGGAAAACAATCTCATTCCTTATTTAAATTTCAACCTCTTCTCTAATTTCCAGTTTGAGCAATTTTATCCCGATATGGAACTAGCCGTAAGACCTGTATTCTAAAGATAATGTATTAACATTAAGTATTATTTTATTAATTTTTTTTTACATATGTATATTTATCTGTTACTACCAGTTTGATAACTGCTGACAAGATGTATTAATATTAAAGTAACAGAAACATGTTCAGTAATGGGGTAGTAACATACCTAATTATTATTTTGTATACACTTTTTCAATTAATGTTATCTAATGCTCTTTATTTTATTAAGTAGGCATTTGCTCTTAAGATGTCTCTGCTTGAAAGGTCTTATGCATGCTATTGTGTTTTTGATATATTACGTTCCAGCCCTCTTGATAATAAGGTTGTAACGTAATAGAAATCTTTAAGGGAACTCACAACGCTAATTCAGTGTTCTATATCGAAAACAGAAATCCTTCCTTTTTCAACTCCTTTTCTATTGAATATCATTTTTAGCGTATTATTTATAATATGCATACTTTATCAGCTAGGGTTTGCAATCCCGCAGTCTTTTTTTTTTCCAGCTGGAAATTTGCGGTAAATTCGCCTTTACAGCGGGATCCCGCTGTAATTCCCGCAAGAGATTTAATAATATATTTATATATGAAAATTATAATGCTATTATTGTGGAATGTTTATATTTATTCAAATGAAATATGTATAAATAATTCTTGGCATTTAAAAATCAACAAATAAGCATTATATACATTAAAAACTATGTTTATTAACTAAGAATCAACAGAAATCAACACATCAATAATATATTACTTTTGTTATTTTTACATAGATATTATTATGTCTCTAGTTACCTACTTAACGTACTTGTTGCTGTTAACTTATTAAATTTATAAACATCTAGGTTAGGTTAGTAATTTAATCGTAGTAACAATTTCTAAAAAAATATTTGCCAGATTCATCGATAATATACTGCCCTACTTCGGAATATGACAGTTTAGAGAAAATTGCAGAGATATTAGGCATACTTCGTTTGGCTGTCATTCATTTACTAATTAAGGTAATAACTTTTTTTCGGTAACGGTAAATGGAAAACAAGTATTTTTTAATGTATTTGAAGAATGTTAGAAAACATTGTAATTTCAATAAAAACAGCGTCGAAAATGTTGTTTTGTCTTAATAAATTTAAGATTCTGCTAGGTAAAAATGCCGTATGTGCAGTATCTGCTACATTTTCAACAGAAATTAATAGAAGAACCAGAACATGTATAATATACATGATATTTTGGACGTTTTTACAGGGTATTTTTAATATATTGTGTTGCAAATAATATTTAATTGTTGTTTAATTTAAAACAACGCATGTAAACACATACGAATTTAATTTGTTAAAAACATCGTATTTCAACGCTTCTGCTAGAGAAGAAAGCCGTTTATACTATATAGGTACCTCTTAATGAAATACATGTACATAAGTCTGCTAAGTGACACAATATTAGAAATTTAAAATGTACAAATTTTTAAATTTAAAGAAACAGGAACGATATTGTTGATATTATATATAATGCGATATAGATTTCAAAAATGTAATTATCTCAATTTGTCACAAAACTGCATATACGGTCTTTTTCCGAAGTAGAGCAGTATAGTATAATTAAAGTAACATACAAGAAGACAAAACTATTAGTTGCATATAAAATTTCATTTTGCAAACACTTTTTGCTAGAAATTAAACAAACGAATCAAGGAATTTGTTTGAATGGTGCAAAGATCTGCCGATTTTAATCCTTTTCTTCGCTCGATTGATCGATGCTATCACAGGGGAACAGGGTGCGCACGCAAACCAAACTGAGCGCTATGTCGCCAAACGGACGTGTTCTATTCAAAAATTTCCCGCGCGGAAATTACCGCACAAATGCGGGAATTCCGCAGGTCTCATTGACATGCGGGAAATTGCTGCATTGCTGTAACGCGGAATGCGAGATTGCAAACCTTTTTATCGACATCTTGAAAAATACATACTACAAAAAGAGAAACGGGAGCTGCTATAAATAATTCGAATTAGTATCGAGGTGGTTTTATTTTATGTATGAATACTGTTGGATGCGATTTGTGCTCAAAATAGTAGAAAAAGTATTTGTTTTGTTTAATATTAGATACATATTGGGAATTTCTATGTCTCGTTTTCTTCTATTTGACAGAGGAATCAAGAGAGCCGAGTCGAGCGTCTCGTGATGTTTTCATGACTGATAGCATTTATTTTTTGTAATTTTGGTAAATTTCGATGGAATTACAAAAAAGAAACGTATGTGGCAATAAGTACTATAATATATTCTATCAATGTCTCGTTTTACCGAATCCCCAAGGGTTGTTGAGACAAAGGTTGAGATAAATTCTAGTATAAAATAATTAACTTGACTGTTTCCAGCTTTTAAGCATTAATTTGTTAAGTTAAATTATAGAATGTGCATCCACAGATCACTGCACGTGACTTGATCCAGTAGGTCTTCAGCTACATATTTTTATTTTGACCTTAATGGAAATCTGTGGGTAATTTCACTCTAATGGCAGTCTCTCTTGCTGCATATCACTTAATATTTTCCATTTTTGCTTCACCAAGGGAACTCTCCTGGAACCTACTTAACTGAAGCGATCTCGCATGTATTTATGCGATGCTGCACAAGATCGTTTTCTGTTAGTAGTATACATCTTGGCAACTCCTTAATAAGTCTACTATTTTACAGATTTCTTCAGATTACATCAGTGACGTAAATGAGTGAAATTTTCGAAAACCTCGGGCAGTTTTTCAGGATTTTGAATGTGATGTGGCGATTCTGCGTTACTGAAAACTATCTCTACCCTTTGGCAAACCCCTGAAGATTCACCTTTCAGGATCTATTAAGGGTAGTCCTTCAGATTTAACGTTCTGATTAACACCGAGCGTCTCCTCCTTTATATCAACATGTTATTAGGTAATATGCCAATTCTATAAAGAATGCGCTTTAGTTCAGATTCAACCATTACGGTTTCTTCAGTGGATGAAGAACTGATGTAAATAGTCTCAATGACTATTTATCAACCTGCTGGATGTATCATGTCTTCTGGCGCTTTAACTATTCTAATTCTAAAGAATCATATTTCAAGAAAATATATTAGAATTTCTTTATCTTCCAATTGTCCTCAACCATGACATTTATGCCCAAGAACTACGCCATCTGTGACGTCTGTTACCAGGACGTTTTCCTGGAAAGTTGTCTGCTAAGTGGATACCATGTTAGTGGGTGTGATTGGAATCCGTATCAAACCTCAATTTCCACATATATGCTTCGTTACTACCAAACATTTTCGCTCCTCAAAACTGGCTAGCTGGTATTTATCTGGCTGTGACCAAATTAATTCCCAGGCCATCGTTTCCCAAGATGCCATTTGGCATCGCAATTCCAACAATGGATACCATTTTGTCCCATTTCCATGGTGAAGCAAATTTCCAAATGGATGACATTTTGTTCCATTTCCAATTTTCCAGTTGATGTAGTTCAGATCCTTCTATATTGTTATATCATTGGGGTAGGTAATATATGTATCGACCACATACTTCAACAGACGCTTTGGCTTTAGAATTGGTGATTCCAGGGTTTCGAAGTCTCCCTTTACATTTAAGCTAAAGCTGAGGACAAGGGTAAACCAGTAACTGTCTACTAAGTTCTCGTTTCTTATTCTATTGACAAATTCTAGGGAAGCTTGCAATCTATACAGGGTGTTCCTAAATAAGTGTCGCAACGAAAAACTGTAAATTCCTCTTGAAAAATGAAACATTATTTTCCTCTTCCATTTTTCTCTCCGGGCTTTCGTTTTCGAGATACACGGTGTCAAAACTTTAATTTTTTTTTAGTTTTTCGCCAATATCTTAGGAATCGTTTGAACTACAGGACTGAGCTTTTGTACACACATTACCACTATTAATAGCTACTTTTTCGCACCCTTCTCGAATTCATTGGACGTGCCAGTGGTGGAGATTTTAAGGTATCGTAAGGGTTTTTCCCCCTCTAAATTTTACGCCACTGGAAAAATCGACTTTTGACAGCAAATTCTAAAGCGCCAATGAATTTTACACATTAAGAGTTATCTTGGTTCATTGCTCTAAAGTCAACCATTTTCAAGAAAAATGACTTTCTATGAACAAAAGCAAACATTTTGCTAACGTTTCGAAAATCTTTTGTAATTCAAAAAATAGGTAGTAATAATTAACAATTTTAACGAAATTTAACAACAGATGGGATTTTAACTTTTTTTTATCAATTTGGCGAGTAAAATTTACAGAAACTTCAAAATTACGTCCGTTGGCTTGAATGCACGCATTACATCTTCTAATCATGTTTCTTTCTGCCGCTGCGGCTTCACCTCTATCGGTCAACTTTTCGATAGTATTAACATGGAACGTTAGCAAAATGTTTGCTTTTGTTCATAAAAAGTCATTTTTCTTGAAAACGGTTGACTTTAGAGCAATGAACCAAGAGAACTCTTATTGTGTAAAATTCATTGGCGCTTTAGAATTTGCTGTCAAAAGTCAATTTTTCCAGTGGCGTAAAATTTAGGGGGAAAAAACCCTTACGATATTTTAAAATCTCCACCACTGGCACGTCCAATGAATTCGAGAAGGGTGCGAAAAAGTAGCTATTAATAGTGGTAATGTGTGTACAAAAGCTCAGTCCTGTAGTTCAAACGATTCCTAAGATATTGGCGAAAAACTAAAAAAAAAATTAAAGTTTTGACACCGTGTATCTCGAAAACGAAAGCCCGGAGAGAAAAATGGAAGAGGAAAAAAAATTTTCTTTTTTCAAGAGGAATTTACAGTTTTCCGTTGCGACACTTATTTAGGAACACCCTGTATAGTGTTTGTTCTTTGATAACGGTCATTTACAGAAGGTGAGGTGAAGGAACAAAACACGGAACGTTCTATTTGACTATCTTTAGTCGTTTTGAATATAATAAAAAGAAGTCCTCACTAGTTTTAATTTGAACACGCTGTATCTCGAAAATTGAGCATTTCTCGACACATATTTATAGCAAATATCTTCGAATTTTC